TGCATCTCCTGCCACCAACGATCCAGTAACCTGCAGCTCGGACAGCCCCTTCAGTGAAAAGACGTCCTTGGTGACGTACCTGCTCATGAAGGTGATGCACTATGAGAGTGGTTACGTGATGCCGTCCAGGCAGGACCAGTGGCCGTTTCTCGTGGAATCCTATTTTTGCCTCAATGAGGCGACCCCCAATCCTTAACAGCCCGTCTGAGTCAATGAAAGGATCCAGGGCAACGAGTGGGCTGCTCTTGGGAATGTTGGCGTTTGATGCAAGACACTCCAGTTCTTTCCTATAGACCTCTTGTTGAACTGCTTTGATAATGACTAGCTTACTCTGTTCAAGAATATCCCTGGTTGGGGGTGTGCTGCACTGGTGCCAACCCTCACATTTCTGAGCGACACACTCCGTTCCTTTTTTGAAGCTCTGAACAATGTGAATAAGGGTACCAAGAGCCCTTATGAGGGAACCCCAGCATGAGAAGCGATTGAACCGCCCAGAGCCGAGATGTTTGAGGACAGTGACCGACAGTGTTGTGACTTGAGGCCTGATTTCACTGTCTTGATCTGGTTCCAAAAGGTCAAACCTCTGTACCACCGGTGACGCCCCTTCAAGTCGAGACAAGAATGCCGGTCCAGAGAACCATATTGTGTTCTCAAGGTGGTCTGCTGTGATAGACCGTGAGGCGATGTCTGCGGGGTTGTCTTCTGAGCAGACATATCGCCACTGCTGTGGCGTAGTGCTTCGTCTGATCCTCTGGACTCGGTTGCTCACGTATACATAAAACCTTCTCTTCTCATTGTAGATATATCCGAGCACCACCTTACTGTCTGTGTAGTAGGTGACTGCGTCAAATACAATGTCTATTTCGGAGGTGATGACCTCAGACAGAGTTACTGCCATGACTGCTGCACAAAGCTCCAACCGAGGTATAGTATGCTCTGGACGTGGGGCCAGTTTGGCTTTACTTGCAACCAATCTAGTGCAGCATCCCCCATCTGCATCCACAGTCTTCAAGTAGGCAACGGCAGCTACTGCTTTCTCTGAGGCATCTGAGAAGACACAGAGTTCTGTTAACTTGACAGTAGATGGTGACATGTTTGAGTATGGTCGGGGGATCCTCAGATGTCTTAACTCCTGCAGAGAATCTCTCCAACTTTCCCACACCTTTTCCTTTTCTGCTGGTAATGGGGTGTCCCAATCTGAAGATTGTGAGGCCAGTTCTCGAAGCAGCAGTTTCCCTTGAATTGTCACCGGGGAGACGAATCCTAGAGGATCGTACAGGCTGTTCACCGTTGAGAGAACTCCTCGTTGAGTGAATGCCTTTCTCTCGTCCTGGACGCGGTAAGTAAAACAGTCTGAATCCAAGTCCCAGTACAGCCCAAGGCTACGCTGCATTGGTAGAGTGTCAGCAGTAAGGTCCAAATCTTTCAGGTCTGTGGCATGATCTTCACTGGGAAAGGCCTTCATGACCTCCTTGCTGTTCGAAGCCAGCTTATGCAGCCTAAGGTTAGAGCGAGCCAGCATTTTTTGAGTTCTTTTGAGCAGGTCGATAGCTGCGTCTGTTGTGGGCAAGGACTTTAACCCGTCATCTACGTAAAAGTCACGAGTGACAAACTGTTCTACGTCCTCCCCATACTCCTTCCGGCCTTCCTGTGCTGCACGTCTAAGACAGTAGATAGCCACAGCCGGCGAAGGACTATTTCCAAAGACGTGCACGTTCATACGGAACTCCATAATCTCTTTCTCTGGGTTGTTCTCTTTAAACCAGAGGAACCTGAGGAAGTTCCGGTCTTCAGGACGCACCTTGAAACAATGAAACATCTGTTGCACGTCCACAGTGAAGGCGATCTGTTCTTTCCGAAACCGAAGGAGGACTCCTACCAGGGTGTTGTTGAGGTCTGGTCCCGTTAGGAGTACTTGGTTCAGAGACAAACCTTTGTGCTGGGCACTGGAGTCGAAGACGACTCTTATTTGGGAGGGCTTCTTGGGATGGTAAACCCCAAAACAAGGTAGGTACCAATGCTCCTCATTAGGCTTCAGAGGTGGGGCTTCTTCAGCGTGCCCATTCTGAAAGATCTTTGCCATGAACGAGACAAACTCTTCCTTCATTTTAGGCTTCCTTCTGAAGGACCGCTGTAGAGATTTGAGACGTTCAAGTGCTTGCTCGTGGTTATGAGGGAGCTTTGGTCGTAGAGATCTGAAAGGCAGGGGAGCCACCCACCTGTTTTCTTGGTCCTTATAGACCTCTTGCTCCATGATGTGGATGAACTGTCCGTCCTCGATTGAAGGAGCTTCTTTGTCGTCGTCCTTTGTTGTCTGGAACACATTACAGTCTAAGGTGGCCCATTTCTCACTAGCAGGGAGATGTTTGCATGTTAGGGGAAATGAAGGGGAGCTACCACTACTATACTTCTCTTTTACATAGTAATCGTTTGGGCATGGCTGAAAGAGAGAAGGACGTCCATTTTTCAGTACGTTAGTGTAGCAAGAGCTGATAACCGTAGGTCTGTGGACATCTCCAATGCACACATCTCCTACAATAACCCAACCCAGATCCAACTTCTGGGCATAGGGTGCGTTTTGTGGGCCATTCACTTGTCTTCTGACCTTATGAACTCTGATGATATCTCTGCCTAACAAGAGCAGGATGGAAGCTTGGGAGTCCAGCTTTGGAATGTGTTTTGCAAGGGCTTTCAAATGACTGTGGTTTAATGCTACCTCTGGTGTTGGTATTTCTGCGCGGTTATTTGGGATCTCGTTGCATTCAATCAGTGACGGCAAAGAGAGTGTGACACTCCCGTTAATGGGTTCGATCACAAAGCCATGTGCTTGTCTGCCTTCTGTCTCTTGTGTTCCGGCACATGTCTTCAAAGTGTATGGTGAAGGAGGCCCTGCAATGTTGAATAGGTCGAAAAACTCGGTACGTGCAAGTGATCTGTTGCTCTGATCATCTAATATTGTGTATACCGTAACTGCAGCTTCAGGGCAGTCGGTTGGGTACACCCTGGTCAGACATATTTTGAGCAGGAACGCCCTGCGGAATAATTTCCGCAGACCTCAGTACATGCTGTGGAAACATCACCTTCATTCAGGTTGGAATTTTCCTCCCCGCCCTGATCTGGTGCAGAATGTGCTGTGTTGGTGGACCATGGGGCAGATCCAGGGTGGAGGGCTGCAATGTGGCTCTTGCTTCCACACTCTGAGCAGGAGATGTCGTCTTCACAATTCCTTGCCAAATGTGTGGCTCTGCAGCACCTGTAACATATTCCGTACCTTTTTAAGAGTGCTTTCCTTTCTTCCATTGGCTTCTCTCTAAACCCGCGACACCTGGGTAAGGGGTGGGGTTTGTTGTGTAGCGGGCAGCGCTCTGCTGGATCATCTCTAGTGGATGACTCGCTTCCAGATTGGGTGCGAAACGATGCAGTCCTTGTACCGTTGAAAAGGGGCCGAGGATCCGGCGAGACCCTCGTTTTAAAAACTGCCACAGCTTTGTGACCTTCGGCTTTAGACGATTGCTTACTGCCTAATAACTCACTACTGTATGCTGTCTGTGTGAGGCCAGGGTCGTTGCGCATCCGTGCTTCCCGACACACAAAGTCTACAAAGAAACCGAATGGGGGATAGGGAGCCCCGCGATCTTCTTTGTACTTAAAGCCTAAAGAAAGCCATTTTTCCTGGAGATAAAATGGCAGCTTCTGGACGACAGGGGTAACACCACGAGGGGTATCCAGATAACTAAGCCCAAGCAAGTCACCATCTTCTTTGGCAGCCTGTATCTCCGACAGCAAGTCTCCCAGCTCTCTTAGTTTACGACCATCTCTGTTTGGAATCTTGGGAAAGTTGTCTAATCTTTTCAAAAAGGCACCCTCGATGACCTCTGGTGCACCGTAGCACTCATTAAGCCTGTCCCACATAGCTCTGAGTCCGTTAGCTGGTTGGTTCGCATACACGGATCGTATTCGTCTGGCATGTTCAGCTGAGTCCTTACCTAGCCATTTCACGAGGAGGTCAAGCTGTTCACTTGGTGAGAGGTTGAGACCTCTGATGGCATTCATAAACGATGCTTTCCAGGCTCTGTAGCATTCGGGACGGTCGTTGAAGTGAAGGAGCCCTGTAGTCACCAGTTCACGTCGAGCCATAAATCTAACAAGGTCTGACATGTTCTGCTCCATTTCTAGTGGAGTGTACAGTGGGCCCCTTGTGGAGCATGTGGTCTCATGTGGGTGACCGGAGTTGTCTGGGGTTGTGATATACGCCGCGCTGGTGTAGCCGCTGTCCAGAGGCTGTCGTGCATAATTGACCGTTGGTTCTTGTTTAGGGGTGTAGGTCTCACTTTGATTAGCTTTGCCTGGGAAATGATCCTTTAGATTTGCTATTATGAGTGTGGTTTGGGTTTGGATGTGTGGTGTCGCAACTGGCTTGAGGCTTGGTCGAAAATGTACATCAGATCCTGGCGTAAAGATCTTGGAGTAGGAGTCTATGGTCGGTGAATGCTGAAGGAGTTTCGTCTCCGTGTTATCATTGGAGGTTTCTAGAATGGGCGTGGTTTGGCTGCCGTGTGAGGCACCCTTCACATATTCTCTTGTGCGCATTACTGGGTCGTCAGCAGGAACATCTATCTCACTAAGACCCTCACCATCATCTTGGATCGCTGCAGCCTCCAAAACTTCTGCTTTTGCTTCTGCAGCTGCAGCCCTTTTTTCCATGCGTACTTTATCTAATGACGCTTCAAGACGTATTTTTCGAAGCTGCATAGAAGCTTCCAGTTCCGCTTGCTGCAGCTTCAGATCGTTCTCTTTATCCACAAATGCTGCTTCAGCCTTAGCCGCCTCAGCTTCTGCACGTGCTTGTGCAGCGGCTGCCTTACTTGCAGCTGAGCTCCTGGTATGCCTGGAGGAGCCAGATATATTAGATCTGGTTTTCATTGATGCGCTGGTTCTCTGCGACATGTTGCTGTCGATTGGATTTCTTCCTACATCTGAGCTGTTTCCGGAGGATAGCTCTAATTGCTGTCCAGTTCCCCACGAGACTGGTCTTTGAGAGGCTGTCGTTTTACTGTAATGTCCTCTGCCTCTAACGCCTTGCTAGAGTCGACATTCAGACTAAACTCCTCTTCAAAATGACCACGCAGACAAGAGGGTTTGACTTCACTCCCTTTACTTAGGCCAGTTGAAGTAGGGTAAAACTGAGAAAAACCATGACATGAAATGCTCTTAGAAACCATAGATGAGGAGAAATACACAATAACAGTACAATGACTTGTTTAGCCGAAAGCGTTAGCTAATTCCCTCTTTACAAACGTTTCTATTAAGCAAACACTGCAATCACATTTCTTCAAGTAGATTGTTCATTAGTAAAGATGGAACAGAATTACATACCGACAATGCCCTTAAAGACCGTCTTAAGGGAGACAAATGCCACTACAGCAGCGGACGGGAGAACGGGAGAAGTCCTTTCCCCAAACAATAACATGCGCTTTCTGATGACATCATAGAACAGAGACGGATTTGAGCACGTTACACCAGGTCATGCCAAAAGGGGGCACTAAAGAGTAACTTTCTCAGGGAAAATCTATTTAAACAGAATACGGTTACATGGTGACAGAACATGAGCTAAGAGAGGATTCAGCCCTGGCTATATCAACAAGGAAAGTCTGAAGCCTAATCTGAAAAGTAGAAAGGGTTCTGTTCTATTGGTGTGATGCAACAGTATGAGGTCTTTAGATTAAGATTCTATTCTGATGTTAAACATGGGCTAAAGAGGCAGGCCCAGGGAAGGCCGTCATCACACCGGGCAGTAATTGTGTAAATGGCCTGTATTTGTATAGCGCTTTACTAGTCCCTAAGGACCCCAAAGCACTTTATACATCCAGTCATCCACACACTGGTGATGGCAAGCTACATTGTAGCCACAGCCGCCCTGGGGCACACTGACAGAGGCGAGGCTGCCGAACACTGACCACCACCAGTAGGCAACAGGTGAAGCGTCTTGCCCAAGGACACAACGACTGAGACTGTCCAAGCCGGGGCTCGAACCGGCAACCTTCCAATTACAAGGCGAACTCCCAACTCTTGAGCCATGATCTACCTCTCCTATTTCAGCAGGTGCCAGGACCTGAAGAGAGGAGGTAAGCAGTGAGCAGGAAGTAGCACCAGAGATGAGTTGGGAGCTGCCGGCCTGCATGTGCCAAAGTGTTTGTGTGCAAAACAGTAATAAAAGAAACCGTACTTCACCGTGACCCTCTGGCTGTGTGTGAGGTCCTTAGTGCTCCAGTTGTGCCCAAAGCGAATCTGCGTGATGACGGATATGTGACCTGCACAACTGGTGGAGGCACTAGCACAAATGGTGGTGGAGCTTGCGATTATGCACTGGGAGCAGCCAGTGGCCACCCATAAAAAACACGTAGAACCAGTCCGAGAGCCAGACAAAGGTACCTCCCACAAAAGAGGAGGCCCAGTTAGTGAATATGGTGGTCCTGGAACAATTCATGGAGGGGCTCCCAGCGGGAATGGCAGAGTGGGTCTGCTGCCACCAGCCCTTGGATCTGGCGGTGACCCTGGCCAACGATCACCTAGCAGCACGGCCAGGGTCTCTAAGGGAGCTCCTGCAGCTGGAGGTTGGGAGCCGGGCAATTTCAGCCCCGAAGAGGAGGTTCCGGAGCATGTCTCAAGCTTGGCTATAGTTACTGCAGCTGCTGAACCGGATCCGCATCCCCTTCTGTTTCCACCCCCTTCTTCTGCTGATGCGACTCTGATTTGATTTGATTCAATTCAGTTTTTTACTCAGAAATATTATAATTATGATTTTTTATGAGTACATATCCATATTTTTATATCTATGTATAAAAGCAAAGCTGACACTTGTGAAACTTCATCAGAGGTGGGTGTACCCCTCTTCTTGATCTATAATAGCTGGGATAGGCTCCAGCCTAACTGTGAACCTGAATTGGATAAGAAGAAGATGGATGGTTGGATGGATGGAGAACACTGACACACACTGGAAGATGTGTTGCATTGGAATAGGAAAGAGCTTAGAAAAAGTGCTTAAGCAAATGGGTGTGAATGGGTGAATGAGGCAAGTTGTGTAAAGCACGTTGAGTGCTCAGAGTAGAAAAGCACTGTATATTAATGGTATATTTAGCATAAGTCAATGAGAAAATAATGCTAACATCTGGAACGAGATTGTAACATGTTTTTGAGAACCAGTTTTCATTAGCTTGGTGGTTACACTGTGGGTTAATTGGTGTAATACCCACATGACACAATTGCAGTAAAACATATACATACAGAACACAAACATAAAAATATCAAAACAAAATTGTAATACATTGATGAAAATGTAAATTTATAGACACCTACAGTTGGTCAGGGAAGATGTAATACAGAAATAATGGGGAAATATTAGTATGAACCTGTTTTTATACAACAAATGAATGACTACAGTGCTATTCACAGCAGAACAAACATTTAAGGCTCAGTGTTAAACTATGTAGGACAAAAGCTGGAGGACATGCACGGATGCTTCTCTAATGGAACATATTCAGAATATTAAAGCACTTTAACTCACATTGCTCACAGATACCTGGCTCCCTGCTAACATTTTCTTCTTTCTGGCCATGTTGGGATTCCAGTGGCAAACCAGACTGTCATTCTGCACGCTGTAGTTCTTGTGGCCAATCAGCCAGTATGTATACATTTTGCCCTTACCCTGGCAGGAGAAGACCACGCGTGAAAAAGGAGCAATGACAAGGTACTGTTCACCAAAAAAACCAAAATGAAAACTAAGCACTGCATATTGTTTGTGTATATGTGGAAATTTTAAGAAATCTCTTAAAGTAGACTTGTGTTGAACATGAAGTAAGAAAATGTTTTATAAAAACTTGGACTAAAGACTCTTTAACAAACATAAAATTTCCACCAAATTTCACTTTTTTGTCTTTTAATTTAAATTTGGGAACGTTCTTAAAATAAATAAAATAATATTAATGATAACATATTATGGCATAGCTGGAAATTATTTTACCTTAATCTCAATCTCTCCACGAAGCTGCAGCTCATAAGCATTGTCTTTGATCAGAGCCAGGTATGCTTCTGAACTGATGTGGATTTTCTGAGCTGGCATAAAGAAAAATTAAAATCAACAGACATCATGTAAAGATTTAAGCTTTTCTAGATTTGTATTTGTATATTTGTGCAAGAAAGATCCAAGAAAGCTGTTTTTGGTACCAAATTCCAATACAACACATACAGTCTATTTAGTTTCATTTCATGTCCACTATATTGTGCTATATTGTGTGTGCTAGTGTATACTGGGACTAGCTGCACATACGCAGGCTGGTTGATTCCATTCTAGAGGCTGTGTTGACGGTATCTCCAAATAGACAGTATCTTGGCATCTTGTAGCCCACTATTCCTGCCACACATGGACCTGCATCGCAGGAGAAAAAGAAGCAACACTTTACAATCTTCTAAAAAAAAACCTTTAGCACTAAACATTCAGAATATTCATCAATGGAAGAAGATTGGGGAAAAAAGCAACGACATATCAACTGTAATTTTTGTAAAATGTGTGGTGGTGGGGTGTGGTTTGTGGCTAAGCTGGGAGGGGTGGTGCCAGGGTGCCAGCCATCACCTAATTGTGCCTTTCCTATTTTACACAATAGGACACTGGGAGTGAGGGGCGTGTGGAGACAGGAGAAAAGCTGCAAGCAGCAGTCAGAGTGACATTAAAGTGGCTAAAAGAAAGCATGAGAGATATGCCTGAGCGACGGCGCACACTAACCAACCTATGGCTACGTGCATTGCCCAACTCACGGGAACTCATGCAAACGCCACGACACTTCTGCCGGGTGGATCTTCTAGGCGGATGGTGTGTGTTCTGTGGATGGGCTAAAATCTGAGAATTTACACTGGATGATAAAGTACTTGTATTACTCTCCTTATCCAAATGAAAGTTATTTGCCAAGTGGCAGGGACCTTTTGTGGTCATGCAGTGAGTGAGGGATGTTGACTATAAAGTGGTGCATTCGGACAGGGGTGGAGCAAAACACATATAGCACCCCCACCCCCTTAAAGCATGGAGAGAGACAGAAACTGTATCTCTGGGGAACCTGGTGAAAGACCGTTGTGATAACCATCTCACGCTGGTTCAGACAACAGCGTTTTCCAGATGCATTCTCTCACTTGCCCATTCACACCACACTCACCACTTTGAAACTCACCCAGGTATAACACTGTGTTCATGGTCCTACAGATTATCTGTACATAAAAGACAAGTAGTTCAGAAGGAACTGGCTGTAATGCTGGAGATGAGTGTAATAAGAGAGCTGCACAAAGACAGCTCTATATGCTCGTGCGCAGACTAAAACAAAGTGAATGAGGTGTCATTGCTTATCCCATGACGCAGGTTTTTATGTGTATATAGGCTAGGTGCATGTTAGGTTCATAGCTGCCAGCCATCACCTAATTGTGCCTTCCCTATTTTACACAGTAGGACGCTGGAACCAAGGGCCATGCACAAGAAGGGAGCTTCCGCTCCCTTAAGGCCAAAACAGAGAGAATGAGGAGGAGCTTCTTCCCCCAGGCTATTCGGGGCCTGAACCAGGTGTAGGACTGGACTCTCCCAAACATGTCACTATAAGACTGGACTCTCACACACGTCACCACACGCACCACCACACATTTCCTATAATCCTATAATTCCTATAATTTATAATCCTTATCTTTATAATCTCTTCTGCTATTTGCACATTCTTTACTGTAAATTCCTAAGTTAATTTGTAAATTTTTGTAGTAAACTGTAAATTGTAAATATTGTAAAACTTTTCTTCTGTCATTTAATGGTCGGGCATTGTACAGCTACAAGCATTTCACCCCCATGTCATACTGTGTATGGTTGTGTGTGTGTGACAAATAAAATTTGAATTTGAATTTGAAGAAGCGGTCAGAGCAACATTCAAGTGGCTGAAAGCAAGCACGAGAGCTGCGGCTCACACAGCTGTGTGTGTGCCAAGCAGTGAAGACTGTCTGAACTGCCATACTCCATGTTAGACTTGGTGTTTTGGGTTTGTCAGTAGCCTCTTGTGTTGCAAAGAAACTGAAATACAAATTCTAGTCAAAATCATCGGTTGCTTTATCCATGGAAGTTAAAAAAAAGTACCTTTTTCAAATTTTTACAATCTTCCCTTCATGGTTGTCTCTTTGTGCACACCTGGACTGCTCCCAGCACTCCATATAGGCTCCTTATAAGTCCTGTTCAAGAATGTATACATGAACAACAAACTTAAACAGAGCCCAAAGATCAGTTTCTGTGTCAAAACAGAACCAATAGCAAACTGTTTCTTCAACTGAAGAATTGAAACCCTGTTGGTTTACGCTGTGAGTGACTGCCTTGCAAAAATCTTGGCAGCACAGATGCAGCACACTCATCCATTGTCACAAGTTGCAAGAACATGAGAATCTGCTAACATGTCCAAAGGAGAACATGCAGCTGTGGTGCATAAGGAGAAAGTACTTTTGAGTAAGTACTGCACAAGGAGACAACCTTCAAGAGGAGATTTGGCAAATGTAAATCAGATGTTCCTCAGACTTTTATATACTCACATATGTGGAAAGTACAAGATTGAATTAATGCTGAATAATGCTTAAGGAGCTATAAAGACTGTGTAAATCCACAAACAATGTGGACAACTTGAAATTGTTTGAAGAGTAAGTGTATACTGTATGCAAACTAAAAAGCACTCAAACACCTGGATATAGGCTTTGCATCTAAGAGCTACTAAGTGTTATTGAGTTTACCTGATGTCTATCATCTCCAATAAATTTTATGGCTTTGTTCTGATGGTACACAGTTAAAGCTCCGTGAGGATGCCAACATTTCTATGTTTAAGATTTTCAACAGAATCGTCCTCTGAGGATTGTGAATTGTTGAGGATTGTTGCTTTTTAATGCCATTTTTATATTGTTAAGCACTTTGTGCAGCATCGGCTGTTTGAAATGTGCTATATATATATAAACTTGACCTTGACCTTGAATATCCAGGAATCGTAATCTGATATGGTTCCTTTACTAGATGGTACTTACCACAAAGCACCTGACCAAGGTCACTGTAGTGATTCACATTTTTATCAATCCCCACGCAGATTCAAATTTTCTATAACACAGAAAACATCTGCTGTATCTTAATAAATTCCTCTGACCTGTGTGGATGCCAGCTCTGAGCTGAAGCCTCTCATTGGGCATGTGAGGAATGGAGACCTGTCTGACGGCTGCTACCAGATCCAGAGCCATCTTGGCAATTTCATCCACATGTCTGTCTCCGTTCCTTTCAGGTAGGCCGCTCACCACCATGTATGCATCTCCTATAGTCTCCACCTGGATTAACAGATTTTTAGAACTACATAAAATATACAACCTACTCATGTCTAGGAAAATGCCGGGATCGGTGTGGGATCGACTCGTCTGATTTATATATTTTGCAATACCATATTTTCCGCACTATAAGGCGCACTTAAAATCCTTTAATTTTCTCAAAAATCAACAATGCGCCTTATAATCCAGTGCGCCTTATGTATGAATTCTGGTTGTGCTTACTGACCTCGAACTGATTTTATGAGGTACACGGCGCTCAAAAATCTGGCAAAAATGTTTTAGTACGACTTTGGTAAGCTACGAAGCCGCACCGCTTGATGGATTGTCGCAGCATTACGGCTACCGTAGTCAGGAGCCTTGCAGAGTAATCTGGGTCCAAACTCTGCTTCAGGTCCCAGAGTCAAACAAACACTGCAGCATCACTGAGAGTTAAAAAACTGTCTAAATTCTTTCATCTTTAACAAAATGATCAGCTATGCTGCTTTACCAGGTGTAACAATTAAGTTTAACATCCAGGCATCCATGAAAACAGAATTTATTATACTTAACAGAGTTAGCAGGAAGTTAGCTCGCTAGTTTCCACCTAAACATGATATACCATGTTCTGACTGAGAGATTTCTGAAAATTTCTGCTATCACTTAAATGAAGGACCCTCCAGCAGGAACAGAAGATGAAGAAGAAATGAAGACAGAAAACTACATAAATGAAGACAGAAAACTAAACAGCAGTGATGTTTGTAGGGTTAATGAAGTTGGGCTAGCTGGTATATAATGATATACACAGCTATGTTAGCATAGCATATACACAGTGAAGCTGGAGGATGAACGCTAACTTTTTTCCACTCGATAAAAGTTAACGTGAGGGTTCCCGATGGTTAGAGACAAATGCAATCGCATGGCAGGATGCTGTAAACGGACCAAACTTCAGTCAGGAGAACAACTGAGAAAATCCATCCACAATACGAGGTTAGTCATTAATATACTGCAACGACATTAGGAATCGATGGTATGGAAGTGGAGGAAGCAAGAAGAATGAGCTGAGTAAAGTTTGACTAATCTGACTGTTTTGTTTCGTTTAATGTGCCTTATAATCCGGTGGAGAGAGAGGTGGTCAGATTGTCCCAGGTGGGGTAGGGGTGTCGCTTTGCAGGTTTACTTGATGTTACTGTACACACGCTCCAGTATCCTGTGCCCCTGGTAGGACGCTTAACATGATGGTGGAATTTCGAGTTTACTGATTTCAAACATGGCTTATTAAAATCCCCAGCAACGATAGGGATGCCCTCAAGCTGGTCTCTCTGCTGTTTACTAATGATAAGTTTTAGGTGATCCCTTACCAGAGTCTTTGTTGCAGTCCTGGCGGTGAAACATCAGATATTTGTAGATGGAGCCAAGATTCAGTTATAATCAGTAGATAACACGCCCGGACAAAATGGTTGTAGTAAATCTTTGATTGTAGCTCTTCCATTTTGTTTGTGTGGGATCTGTCGTTAGTTAGGAAGATGAATGGAAGCAGGGGTTTGTGTTGCTGCTTTTGCAGTTGGACACGATAGCCAGCTCTGCATCCCAGCTTTTTATTCCTCTCCTGCCATCTCTTGCTGTTCCTGACAATAACCGATGGAGCTCCTGGTGGTCTTGCAATCCTGATGGATACTGTGGGTCCAATCCAAATAAAGTCTAGCTTCAGGCTGAGGTCAGTGTCTATCAGTTCCTGACTACTGAAAGTGATCAGTGCATTGCAGGAACTAGCAATGAAAAAGCATAAAAAACACAAAAAGAAAAGTGCTGCAGCACGCGTCCGTTTGCATTTCAATCTTTGAATTTAGCTTATTTGAAACTTTAGTAGGATATAAACAAGGTACCCTAAAGTCCAAGTTTGTGGTGAGAGTAGCCAACAGTGAAATACTGAAAATATTCTTTGAGACTAGCTTCACACTGGAGTACTGCATTCCAAGTGAAGTATCACAATGACAACTATGTGACAAAGTACCAACATCAGGTCAGAATCAAATCACTGAGCTATGACCCGTCCATATTTGCGAACTTAGCAGAGGAACTTTATAGCATTCTCCTGTTGTATGGCGACACTTTCACATCATCTGGTATGTAGCCAGTCTATGATAAGAGCAAGACAATAGCATTTAACGCAGATGAAGAACTGATTCTATGTGACAGTCTTGTAACTCTTGGAGAAAAAAAGTTTAAAAATGTCAGAAGTTTCATGTATCTTGGTGTAGTGCAGCTGCAGGGAAGGGGTACAGCAGAGGGTTCAGCAGCAGTTCTAGGCGCACAGCCACAGTGTGCCAGCCACTATTTTAACTCAGTAAAATGCTGAGACCGGTCATGTTCAGAGAGTAAGGACAGCAGCAGTGGAAAAACGCTGGAGGAAAAGCTGCAAGTGAAGCACACGTGTAAAACAATAATTGTGAGAATAAACACGACCTGTTCAGTTGAAACTGAGAGTCTGAAGCTGGATGGTGGGTTTCCCATGACCGTGGTGTTACATTGGCACCCAACTGTGCCTATCACACAAGATGCAAGGGAGCCGGCCAACATGCACCAACAGCAAGAGACAGCACCACAGCAGTAACTGGAGACGCTGCAGGCCCAAGCCGAGCAGCACACACAGGTAATAGGAGAAATAAAATAAAAGTAAAGTTTATTTTTTAAGCACTTTTCATAGACAGGCAGTCACAAAGCGCTGTACACAAAGGTTAAAATAAACAGAACGTTTGGTAACAAAATCAACAATACAGTCAATACAAAAGGTTGCATATAAATAAAAATGTAAAATTGAAAAAGGCGTTGATCAACAGAACTTCTGTTTAAACAAAAGTTTTAAACTGCTTTTTAAAGAATCCACAGAGTTAACCAAAAGTAGTTGTGGTGGTCGACTGTTCCACAGCCTTAGTGCCACAGACTGAAAGGCTGGAGGATTTGTGGTTCCGTACCTGTTAATCCTGTCTGTTCCTGCTGAAGGGTCCGAGGAACCTCTTCATTCATCTTCTGTTCCTGCTCGAGGGTCCGAGGAACCGCTCCAGCCATCTGTCTGGAGAGTCAGAGGAACCATTTCTGTTCCTGCTGAAAGTCCCGAGGGGTCGCTCCAGCCGTCTTCTGATCCTGCTGGAGGGTCCGGGGGGTCGCTCCAGCCGTGTTCTGTTCCTGCTGGAGGGTCCAGGGGGTCGCTCCAGCCGTCTGTTCCTGCAGGGGGGTCTGAGGAACTGCTTCAGCCATCTGTCTTCGCTGGAGGGTCAGGGGAACCGCTTCAGCCATCTTCTGTTCCTGCTGGAGGGGCCGGGGGGTCGCTCAAGCCGTATTCTGTTCCTGCTGGACGGTCCGGGGGTTGCTCCAGCCCTCTTCTGTTCCTGCTGGGGAGTCCAAGGAACCGCTTCAGTCATCTGTCTTCACTGGAGGGTCAGAGGAACCGCTTCAGCCATCTTCTGTTCCTGCTGGAGGTCCCGGGGGTAGCTCCAGCCATCTTCTGTTTCTGCTGGGGGTTCTGGAGAACCGCGTCAGCCGTCTGTTCCTGCGGGGGGGTCCGAGGAACTGCTTCAGCTGTCTGTCTGTCTTCGCTGGAGGGTCAGATGAACCGCTTCAGCCGTCTTCTGTTCCTGCTGAGGTCCCAAGGGGTCACTTCAGCCGTTTCCTCATCCTGCTGGAAGGTCCGGGGGGTTCGCTCCAGCTGTCTTCTGTTCCTGCTGGAGGGGCTGGGGGGTCGCTCCAGCCGTCTGTTCCTGTGGAGGGGTCCAAGGAACTGCTTCAGCCATCTGTCTTCGCTGGAGGTTTAGAGGAACCGCTTCAGCCGTCTTCTGTTCCTGCTGAAGGTCCCGAGGGGTCGCTTCAGCCGTTTCCTCATCCTGCTGGAGGGTCCGGGAGGTTCGCTCCAGCCATCTTCTGATCCTGCTGGGGGTTCTGGAGAACCACGCCAGCCATCTGTTCCTGCAGGGGGGTCCGAAGAACTGCTTCAGCTGTCTGTCTTCGCTGGAGGGTCAGGGGAACCGCTTCAGCCATCTTCTGTTCCTGCTGGAGGGGCCGGGGGGTCGCTCCAGCCGTATTCTGTTCCTGCTAGAGGGTCCGAAGGGTCGCTCCAGCCCCCTTCTGTTCCTGCTGGGGAGTCCAAGGAACCGCTTCAGTCATCTGTCTGCACTGGAGGGTCAGAGGAACCGCTTCAGCCATCTTCTGTTCCTGCTGAAGGTCCCGGGGGGTAGCTCCAGCCATCTTCTGTTTCTGCTGGGGGTTCTGGAGAACCGCGTCAGCCGTCTGTTCCTGCGGGGGGTCCGAGGAACTGCTTCAGCTGTCTGTCTGTCTTCGCTGGAGGGTCAGATGAACCGCTTCAGCCGTCTTCTGTTCCTGCTGAGGTCCCAAGGAGTCACTTCAGCCGTTTCCTCATCCTGCTGGAGGGTCCGGGAGGTTCGCTCCAGCCGTCTTCTGATCCTGCTGGGGGTTCTGGAGAACCACGCCAGCCATCTGTTCCTGCAGGGGGGTCCGAAGAACTGCTTCAGCTGTCTGTCTTCGCTGGAGGGTCAGGGGAACTGCTTCAGCCATCTTCTGTTCCTGCTGGAGGGGCCGGGGGGTCGCTCCAGCCGTCTTCTGTTCCTGCTGGAGGGTCCGAAGGGTCACTCCAGCCCCCTTCTGTTCCTGCTGGGGAGTCCAAGGAACCGCTTCAGTCATCTGTCTTCACTGGAGGGTCAGAGGAACCGCTTCAGCCATCTTCTGTTCCTGCTGGAGGGGCCGGGGGGTAGCTCCAGCCATCTTCTGTTTCTGCTGGGGGTTCTGGAGAACCGCGTCAGCCGTCTGTTCCCGCGGGGGGGTCCGAGGAACTGCTTCAGCTGTCTGTCTGTCTTCGCTGGAGGGTCAGATGAACCGCTTCAGCCATCTTCTGTTCCTGCTGAGGTCCCAAGGGGGGTAGCTCCAACCGTATTCTGTTCCTGCTGGAGGGTCCGGGGTGGGTCGCTCCAGCCTTCTTCTGTTCCTGCTGGGGGGTCCGAGGAACCGCTCCAGCCATCTGTCTTTGCTGGAGGGTCAGAAGAACCGCTTCAGCCAGGTTCTGTTCCTGCTGAAGGTCCTGAGGGGTCGCTTCAGATGTTTTCTGTCTCTGCTGGAAGGTCCGAGGAGCCCATCCAGACACCATCAGCGCCACTAGATCCTCCACCGTTGCCTGCAGTACCACCACCTGCAGTTTCCACACTGTCACCTGCAGTTCCACCACCTGCAGTGCCACCAACTGCTCCATCACCTGCAGCTACCACATCTGTGCCATCTCCGTCCTTCACGTCCTGCTCGACTTCGTTCAGCTCCTCACTGTCGCCAGCCACTTTCCAGACTGCTGGCCAGATATCTTCGCCGTCATGGTCGGCCTCCGGACTTGCTTCGTCTGTGCCGCCGCCATCCACGTGGTCAGCCTCCAGATTTTCTTCGCCTGCTGCCTTTTCCATGGCCGCCCGCCGGACCGGTTCAGTCACCTGTGCCGTTGCCACTCTCCTTGTGGTTGGGCCCTGAACTGTTTAGCAATGGACTGTTGTGCTGTTGCCTTCCAGGTTGGTCACCTGAACTCTATGTGAACGTGTCCATGAGCTCCAGCATTTTCTGTGGAATCTGTTTCCTGTTCCTGCTCATCATGTCCTGTGTTTCTCTGGTTATCATCTCATGTTTCTCTCCGCATGTTATAATTCAGGTTTGTTTACTGGGTTTCCCAGTTCAGAGTATTTCTTAGTTCTGTCCCTGCCACCCTTGCTTTTGTTTGTTTTCACCTATTGTAAATAAAGCTCACTAGCATCACTGCCTATGCCTGCATTCTGGGTCCTTCTCTCATAAACTCCACACATCTGCCGTAGCAGCCGTGACATGTTTTATTGTGAAGGTCTCACGTTTCCATGTTCAGTGTGTCTACCTGTGGCGTCATGTTAATTCGTGTCAGTTGTGTTCCCCGTGTGTTCTCACTACCGAGACATTATCCTTCTGTGTATTTATGTCAGCGTCTCCCTCAGTCCTGTATCGTGATCACCCTCATACCTCACTGTGTGTTCTGTCTGCCAGCCTGTCAAAGAAGTACAGCCCATCCAGTCAACCATAAAATGGCTGATTCCACTTCAACCTACCTAGCACTTCTCATTCTGGAGGCTCCTGGGAGCATGAAATCAGGGCTGTCCTGACTGCAGCCCTGGGTTCGCAAGATGTCAGCAAAGAAGTGCGGACAACTCGCAAACCAAGGGCAGTTGCTGATGATTTGGCCAACCATTTGTTACCACAGGCAGTATATCGCTGCTTGGACTGCCAAGTACTATCAGACCACTTCTGGACATGGTTCCTGCACTACTACCTGCCCGCCATACTCTCTCTTAGTGGCAGTCAGATACAGCCCTGCTTCAACTGGGTAGTGTTTTGATAATCACTGATCCCAACTTCCCAGAGCTTCACATAGCCTGTAGGGAACATTGGCAAGGTGATCCCTGGCAGCCTTATTTGCACTGCAGAGGTTAAAGTGATGGACCATACCTATGGATGACCTGTGAGGTAACCTCATTCGGCTGACTGCTGTTCCGAATGAAGATTTATACAATGGATTTAGTACTGCAAACTTGCTGGAGCAAGTCTGGGGGTGGCTGTTCTGAAGATGTCATTTACCAGCCTGTCCACAAGGGGCAGCTATGTACTGTATAGTGAGGCAAAAAAGTATTTAGTCAGCCACCGATTGTGCAAGTTCCCCCACTTAAAATGATGACAGAGGTCAGTAATTTGCACCAGAGGTACACTTCAACTGTGAGAGACAGAATGTGAAAAAAAAATCCATGAATTCACATGGTAGGATTTGTAAAGAATTTATTCGTAAATCAGGGTGGAAAATAAGTATTTGGTCACCTCAAACAAGGAAAATCTCTGGCTCTCACAGACCTGTAACGTCTTCTGTAAGAAGCTTTTCTGTCCCCCACTCGTTACCTGTATGAATGGCACCTGTTTGAACTCATCATCTGTATAAAAGACACCTGTCCACAGCCTCAAACAGTCAGACTCCAAACTCCGCCATGGCCAAGACCAAAGAGCTTTCGAAGGACACCAGGAAAAGTATTGTAGACCTACACCAGACTGGGAAGAGTGAATCTACAATAGGCAAGCAGCTTGGTGTGAAAAAATCAAATGTGGGAGCAATCATCAGAAAATGGAAGACATACAAGACCACTGATAATCTCCCTCGATCTGGGGCTCCACGCAAGATCTCATCCCGTGGGGTCAAAATGATCATGAGAACGGTGAGCAAAGATACCAGAACCACACGGGGGGACCTGGTGAATGACCTGCAGAGAGCTGGGACCAAAGTAACAAAGGTCACCATCAGTAACACACTACAACGGCAGGGAATCAAATCCCGCAGTGCCAGACGTGTTCCGCTGCTGAAGCCAGTGCATGTCCAGGCCTGTCTGAAGTTTGCCAGAGAGCACATGGATGATACAGCAGAGGATTGGGAGAATGTCATGTGGTCAGATGAAACCAAAGTAGAACTTTTTGGTATAAACTCAACTCGTCGTGTTTGGAGGAAGAAGAATACTGAGTTGCATCCCAAGAACACCATACCTACTGTGAAGCATGGGGGTGGAAACATCATGCTATGGGGCTGTTTTTCTGCCAAGGGGACAGGACGACTGATCCGTGTTAAGGACAGAATGAATGGGGCCATGTATCGTGAGATTTTGAGCCAAAACCTCCTTCCATCAGTGAGAACTTTGAAGATGGAACGAGGCTGGGTCTTCCAACATGACAATGATCCAAAACACACCGCCCGGGCAACAAAGGAGTGGCTCCGTAAGAAGCATTTGAAAGTCCTGGAGTGGCCTAGCCAGTCTCCAGACCTCAACCCCATAGAAAATCTGTGGCGGGAGTTGAAAGTCCGTGTTGCTCGGCGACAGCCCCAAAACATCACTGCTCTCGAGAAGATCTGCATGGAGGAATGGGCCAAAATACCAGCTACTGTGTGTGCCAACCTGGTAAAGACCTATAGTAAACGTTTGACCTCTGTTATTGCCAACAAAGGTTATGTTACAAAGTATTGAGTTGTATTTTTGTTATTGACCAAATACTTATTTTCCACCCTGATTTACGAATAAATTCTTTACAAATCCTACCATGTGAATTCATGGATTTTTTTTTCCACATTCTGTCTCTCACAGTTGAAGTGTACCTCTGGTGCAAATTACTGACCTCTGTCATCATTTTAGGTGGGGGAACTTGCACAATCGTTGGCTGACTAAATACTTTTTTGCCCCACTGTATTTAGTGCAGATGGATCAGTGACAACCGGTTCAGCCATGCAGTCTCTTGGTTGGCTTCATCAGATCCACAGTTGATTGCTGTTTGTGTTCCTGTGTGTGCATCCAGAGAAATGTAAATTGTAACTTTGCAACTGTTCAGTAAGGCGTGCAGGCTGTGAACAACTTTTCAGTTTCTGATAAACTTTAATGTGCCTTATATTATTGTGTGTATGCATGTGAACCACATCTCTGTGCTGCCTTAAGAAGCAGTAAACCCATCAACTGTGTCATGATTCTTTGTCTGCATTGAGCCTGGGGGAAACATAGGGAGTGCATTCGAACCGATGTGATTATCACCAAGTGTAGCTGGCATGGTAGTTTAGAGCCTTCACCACAATAGCAACACAGCATAATGAACAGGATCCATACTGTCTTAATATCATTCTTTGCAGCAGAGACTTCAGGCTTCAATGATGGCTGCAGATAGAGAGCCAGGGAAACTCAGCTGCAGCTTTTCAGACTGATTAGTAGTCTGAGGAGCAGCCCAGAACCCTGCTCTGTCTCTTCTGCAAGTACTGCAAAGGTTCTGTTGAGGTTTCCTTGTGTGTAACGGCACACACAAAATACCTAAATCAGGGAGGACTAGAATGTATGCTAGGGCAGCGGTCCCCAACCCCCGGGCCTTGGACCGGTACCGGTCCGTAAGTCGTTTGGTACCGGCCGCGAGAGTTGAGGCTCAGGTGTGAAATGTATGGTTTTCAGGGTTTTTATCGGTTTTCAGCGTTATTTTGTTATCGTTTTTATCGTTAACTTGGTTTTCCTGGGTCTTTTCAAGTGTGTTATGAATAAATCTTCTTTTTTTCGGTACTGGTACTAGTTTTATTTTGTTGTATGTTACTGATTGACAGTGCATATTGTTACTGAAATCTGTTTAAGCCTGAGCTACAACCAAAATTAGGCTTTACAGAGGTATACTGAAAGGCTACAACTACTAACTAGCAGATTCAATACATCTGCATAAGTGCAGACACCCCAGATTTCAACAATGTATAACCTTAAAGCCCAGAGACATGCCCACAGAACAAGTAACTAAATAAAGAATTATTTCAATTGAAGTCAAAAAAGTGATGAAAGTGGAAGTAAAACTTGGGTTACCTTGTAGACATCATAGGAGTCAATGCGCGTATCAAAACACATGTAGAGGTTGTTGAGCATCTTCACTACTTGCAATGGAGTACAGGACGCAGATATAGAGGTGAAGCCCACAATGTCTGAGAAAAAAATGGTCACCTGGAACCAAAGGTAGAAAAGTAGTTCCATTACTATATAGAATTACTGTTTGTAGTGGAAATATAATAGAAAACATCTAAAAGAGAAATAAAATCTTCAGACGGAGAAAACGAAGTTGAACTTGTACCAGAATTATGGGAAGATAAAACTACAGAGAAAAAAAGGAACATCTTGTGATCCAGAGCGTATGGCGTTATGTGTCAGACATGGTGACCGCAGTGTTGTGCCATGGGGATGTATGGCTGCTAAAGGAATGTGCCACTACTGTTTACTGTTGATGCAACTGCTGAGAAGCAGCAGGATGAATTCTGTAGTATACAGGACTACACTTTCTGCTCAGATTCACCCAGATGCTTATAAACTGAACTGAGTGACTATGAATAACAACCAAAAGCAATTTTAAAGTTTCTCAAGGCAAAGAAACTGTTGATTGCATTGTTGTCAACTCATGAGAGCATGCTTTTCAGTTATTAAAGATGAAACCAAAAAGAGGGAGACACACAAACAAGCAGCAGGAGAATGGCTGTTGTAAAGGCCTGGCTAAGCAACTCAAGACATGAAAGGCAGTAACGGAGGATGTACATAGGTTCAAGACTTTAGGCAGTCACTACCCGAAAAAGAAAAAGTTTACTTGGATATTAGGAAACATTCTTGTATTAAATTTTTTAAATTGCTTACAGATGTTTTCGGATGAAAGATGTCCAAAACCTGTGGGGTTACACTATATATATATATATATATATATATATATATATATATATATATATATATATATATATACACCCCAAGAAGGGACCGGTCCCATCCAACTACCGACCAATAACCTGCCTCAGTACTACATGGAAGCTCCTGTCAGGCATCATATCGGCTAAGATGAACAGGCACATGGGTCAATACATGAGCGGGACACAGAAAGGAATTGGCAAGAATACAAGAGGCGCAAAACACCACCTACTGGTAGACAGCCGAGACTGCAAGACCAGACTGACCAACCTGTGCACTGCCTGGATTGATTACTAGAAGGCCTATGACTCAATGCCCCACAGCTGGATATATATATATATATATATATATATATATATATATATATATTAGGGGTGCAACGATACTCGTATCGATATTGAACCGTTCGATACAGTGCTTTCGGTTCGGTATGCATATGTAACGAACAATACTAAATTTTTAATTTATTTTATCAACTTTCCTTCTGACGATGCTGTCTGTGTTGAGCGCTCAGTGGATCTGCGCTCGACAGTGTAGCCTAGGCGGAGTAGTCGAACGCAGATTCACTGAGCGCAGGGCAAGCTAGCGAGACAGAAGTTAAGCTCTCCTTGCAACATGGCAAATTGAACCTCCCCCACCCTCATTCAGATCTGGCATTTGGAACTATTTTGGTTTTCATGTGACGTATGACACTGAAGGAAGCGTGTCATGGACTAAAGTAAAACAGTATGTTGGATGTGCCACGCAATGCTCAATTACATTGGTGGGAACTACTGCGTTAGCGCAGTTAGCTCGTTAATGTGTTGACGCTGTCCAGCCCCACGCACGGGGCGATCCGCGGTAGCTCGTTAACGGAGATTTGCCGTGTTGTGGCGTTAACGTCATTTCAACGAGATTAACGCTGACAGCACTAGTGGGAACACAATAATTATGACTGCACATTTACTCCGACATCATCCTAGTGCAAAGACATGTGGAAGCAGACAAAAACAACAAGCACGCATGATACAAACTTTACCCGAGTCATTTAGACAGCCGTTAGCACATGATTCTCCTTATGGGGACCTGATATGTTTAATATGCTGCTGAGAATATAGCCCAGAAGAAGCGTATAGTATAGCTTTTATTTTGGAAAGAGCCATTTCTCTGTAATAAACTCTCTTTTCCAAAGATGAGTGATTCCTCAATCAGATACAGGGCTCGCAAAATCGCTAGCCCAACGTCCCGGGGCTAGCGATTTTTCCAGTCGGGCTACCAAAATCTATCTCTGCCCTGCCCGTCGGGCTATCGTAGGAAGGAAAAATATATGTCAATGCTTTTGCATTCTTTCTAAATGTAGCTGGGTAATTATGTCATTGGCATCGGAGAGGACTGTCAATATGTGACATATTGAAATCGTGTTTGAATTTGCGCTTGTTTTTTGCTTTCACTTTAGAAATCGCGCGAACTGTGTATAGAGAGTGACAGTACTGATTGGTATGAGGCTAGAGGCTAAGATCCAGGTAGCACTGAGGGAGGTTAGCCAACTATCGGAGTTGCAGAAAGGCGCGATGAGGAAGGTGCCTAAGAAGTACAGGAAGCTGTCCATCCATTCCTGAGGCCTTGGAAACTGCCAAGCAACGACTCACAGCCTTGGCCAGCCGTTTGAGGAGGTACACCAGAGAGATAGAAGACAGGAGAATAAACCAGCTGTTCTCCACGGAACCAGCCAAGGTGTACTCTCAGTGGCAGGGGAACAATATGAGAACAGCACCACCAAGGCTGGAGACGGAACAATACTGGAAGAGCATATGGGAGAAGGACGCAACCCATAACGGCAATGCTCAGTGGCTAGTGGATCTGAGGGCAGACCATAGCGACCTTCCCGAACAGGGTCCAGTAACATCACAGTGGCAGATATCCAAGAAAGGGTCTCCAGTATGAAAAGTTGGACAGCACCGGGCCCTGACATGGTTCACGCCCACTGGCTGAAGAAGCTGACTGCACTCCACGAGCGCCTGGCAGCACAAATGAACCAACTGCTAGTTGATGAGAGACACCCGGAATGGCTAATCGAAGGCCGGACAGTCCTGATCCTCAAGGACCCCCAGAAGGGACCAGTCCCATCCAACTACCGACCAATAACCTGCCTCAGCACCACGTGGAAGCTCTTATCAGGCATCATAGCGGCTAAGATGAACAGGCACATGGGTCAATACATGAGCGGGGCACAGAAAGGGATGGGCAAGAATATTAGAGGCGCAAAACACCAGCTACTGGCAGACCAAGCAGTCAGCCGAGACTGCAGGACCAGACTGACCAACCTGTGCACTGCCTGGATTGATTACAAGAAGGCCTATGACTCAATGCCCCACACCTGGATCCTGGAATGCCTAGAACTACAGTGGGGCAAAAAAGTATTTAGTCAGCCAACGATTGTGCAAGTTCCCCCACTTAAAATGACGACAGAGGTCAGTAATTTGCACCAGAGGTACACTTCAACTGTGAGAGACAGAATGTGAAAAAAAAAATCCATGAATCCACATGGTAGGATTTGTAAAGAATTTATTCGTAAATCAGGGTGGAAAATAAGTATTTGGTCACCTCAAACAAGGAAAATCTCTGGCTCTCACAGACCTGTAACGTCTTCTGTAAGAAGCTTTTCTGTCCCCCACTCGTTACCTGTATGAATGGCACCTGTTTGAACTCATCATCTGTATAAAAGACACCTGTCCACAGCCTCAAACAGTCAGACTCCAAACTCCGCCATGGTCAAGACCAAAGAGCTTTCGAAGGACACCAGGAAAAGTATTGTAGACCTGCACCAGACTGGGAAGAGTGAATCTACAATAGGCAAGCAGCTTGGTGTGAAAAAAATCAACTGTGGGAGCAATCATCAGAAAATGGAAGACATACAAGACCACTGATAATCTCCCTCGATCTGGGGCTCCACGCAAGATCTCATCCCGTGGGGTCAAAATGATCATGAGAACGGTGAGCAAAGATCCCAGAACCACACGGGGGGACCTGGTGAATGACCTGCAGAGAGCTGGGACCAAAGTAACAAAGGTCACCATCAGTAACACACTACAACGGCAGGGAATCAAATCCCGCAGTGCCAGACGTGTTCCGCTGCTGAAGCCAGTGCATGTCCAGGCCCGTCTGAAGTTTGCCAGAGAGCACATGGATGATACAGCAGAGGATTGGGAGAATGTCATGTGGTCAGATGAAACCAAAGTAGAACTTTTTGGTATAAACTCAACTCGTTGTGTTTGGAGGAAGAAGAATACTGAGTTGCATCCCAAGAACACCATACCTACTGTGAAGCATGGGGGTGGAAACATCATGCTATGGGGCTGTTTTTCTGCCAAGGGGACAGGATGACTGATCCGTGTTAAGGACAGAATGAATGGGGCCATGTATCGTGAGATTTTGAGCCAAAACCTCCTTCCATCAGTGAGAACTTTGAAGATGAAACGAGGCTGGGTCTTCCAACATGACAATGATCCAAAACACACCGCCCGGGCAACAAAGGAGTGGCTCCGTAAGAAGCATTTGAAAGTCCTGGAGTGGCCTAGCCAGTCTCCAGACCTCAACCCCATAGAAAATCTGTGGCGGGAGTTGAAAGTCCGTGTTGCTTGGCGACAGCCCCAAAACATCACTGCTCTCGAGAAGATCTGCATGGAGGAATGGGCCAAAATACCAGCTACTGTGTGGGCAAACCTGGTAAAGACCTATAGTAAACGTTTGACCTCTGTTATTGCCAACAAAGGTTATGTTACAAAGTATTGAGTTGTATTTTTGTTATTGACCAAATACTTATTTTCCACCCTGATTTACGAATAAATTCTTTACAAATCCTACCATGTGGATTCATGGATTTTTTTTTCACATTCTGTCTCTCACAGTTGAAGTGTACCTCTGGTGCAAATTACTGACCTCTGTCATCATTTTAGGAGGGGGAACTTGCACAATCGTTGGCTGACTAAATACTTTTTTGCCCCACTGTATATAAGATCAACAGGACCCTGAGAGCCTTCATCAGGAACTCAATGGGGATGTGGCGGACAACACTGGAGGCCAACCTCAAGCCCATAGCACAAGTCACCATCAAGTGCGGGATCTACCAAGGAGATGCTCTTTCCCCACTGCTGTTCTGCATAGGCCTGAACCCCCTCAGTGAGATCATTGACAAGACTGGCTACGGATACCGACTACGGAATGGAGCAGTTGTCAGCCACCTCCTGTACATGGATGACATCAAGCTGTATGCCAAGAGTGAACGAGACATCGATTCA